CAGATCCAAGGGGGGTGCACTCAGACTCGCGAGAGAGGGCCTTGTTGTCTTCAATCGCCTGAGGGCCCCGCAATGGCGGCCAACTGACAGCTTGGTCAACGAAGTCAAACTGTCGAAGTAGCCCCTCCTAACGAGCCTCCAACTTGTAGCACCAAGCTCCCTCCTTAAGTCCAACTACTCCTCTAAGCCTAACTGCAGTCGCCCAACACCCTGTATCAGTCCTTATGTGCCGCAGCAGCAGTCCGTACACAGCCTCTAGATGCAGCCGCAGTGCTCAGCGGCGGCCAACAGTAGCAGCAACAGCTTCCAACAGCAGCGGCAGTTACCAGCAGAGGCCCACAGCCACCGGCAGCGGTACACAGCGGCCTCAGTCTGCACACAGCCCACGAACGCTGCAGCTGCACACCACGTTCAATAGTGCACAGTACGCAACAGTAATCTGTGCCTGGCCAATAGCAGCAACGGCAGCGCACAGTCCAAGACCCAACAGCAATGGTCGCTCTTGCCCAGCCACCGAACACAGTAGCAGTACGCAGTGGCAGCCGGCCGCAGTCAACAATAGCCAGCATCAGTCCCCCGCATGCAGCAGTCGCCAGTAGCAGCGAACAGGGGTGGTCTACGACAATCGTAATAGTCCGCGCCCAGCCTGCAGCAGCAGTAGCACAGTAAGCTTAGCAGGAGAGGCTCATCGGAGGCTCTGTTGGAGGTTCATAGTGGGTGTATTGCACCTGCAGCAGTGAAATACAATAGTAATAACCCTGTCAAGACTCATCCGCCATAGTACCACAGAATCACTGTAGTTGTTGTGCGTACGGCACACAACGCACAACAGTAGCAGCGCTACCTTGAGTACATGGTGGCCCCGTTGACCTCGACAGCAGTAAGTCGCTTCTAGCATGGGCTTCACACATAGATGCCCGACCACGGAGCTGTTGTTGCCAGTACCACTCCAGCCTCCACAATCTGCCCCCATGACCGGGCAGGCTCATAGTAGTAGTAGTCCTCAGCAGTATGCCGCCCCCTACTGCAACAGTAGCCTAGCCCCTGGCCCATGGCTCACTCCATACCCCTCCATTCTGTATGGCAAACAACAACCGGTCAGCAGGTGCGTCTCCGTCTCGCCGCCTACCGTCGTCTCCTTCTTTCCTACCTGGCTCTTCCACTCCCAACCGCCCTGTTTATGCGCAGCTCGACGAGCACAAGTAATACTGTTGTCGCGAAGCCGGGAGGGCGACTATCACGTAGCGTATAGCTAGGATCAGATAGCAGTGTCGAGCGACTACCCACTGTCCGGAAACCCAAATGAAATCTTCCGCTTAAACGTGGTCAGATACATAAGTACTTCTTGAAACCCCTCTTCCCACACGCAACCTCAACCTCCCATTCAGGCCAAACTAGTGTCCTGCTTCCAGACTACCTCTACTATTCATCTCGTCGTAGCTCGAAACCCCTATCTAGCATCTTGGCCCGCTCGATCCTGCTGGAAACCGGGAAGGTCCCGTAATCGTCACCCCGTCATTGTCACCTCCCTCTCCGACTCCGCACACTGCTTTCTCTTCATACTATATTCCTACTAATCTATGGCTGAAACTAATCCCAGAATCACGTTCACCAACCTCAGAAACCCCTATGCCGATTCCTCCTTCACCTAATCTCGTCATGAGTCACATGAGTCATCCTTCCTCCTTTGCGCCTTACCTGTCCCCCGCCATCTATATTGCTAAGTGCACCTGCGCGGTATACCGTCCCGGTTCGCCTTCTTCCTCTCCCACTACGCCCATTGCCATGGCTCGCTGTCGTACCCCGTTACTAGCACATTTTTCTTTCCCGCACGCATCAATCACCAATCCCTTCCTTAGTCTCTCTTCGCCACCTTCGTCCCTCTCGTTCCAGAATGCACTTGGCGCGTGCCTTTGCCTTGGTTCACTCACCGCCTTTCCCCTTATCTCTCCCCATCGCTCGGTTGTCTACCTCGCCTGCTGCTTCTAGCGCAGCGTCCTAGTCGTCGCAGTGACTCGCTTGAGAAAGCCCCCGGAAGGAAGAACCAACCATCAACCGCTTTCAATAGCAGTTCTACTCCTGTGGGCCGATCCAACACTCATCGCCCAATCGTGGTGCTTCTCCTACCAGAGTGTCCTCTGTCCTCACCTCGTTCAAACGCTACCAGCGCGATCTGTCAGCGCTTTGACCACAAAAAAAAACAGTCGAGTGTCGGCCCTTACGCAGATTTATACAGTTCGCCCTTGCGCAGTGGCCATGCTAATCTTCTCTGCCTCGTTCCAATTTTAACAGATGTCCCGAAGGACTCGGTCACTGTTCCGAGCCCCAAAAAAACCAAAATAAACGGAAAACAACCAACGGTTATTTCTTAGGAAAAAAAAAAAGCTGCCGGCCTCTGTCCGGCCCCGCGGGTGGAACTCGTCGGCAGGCTGCTCAACAAAAGCTGAGGGGGATAGCCCCGGCGGGCCCTCAACCCCCCGGCCTTCTTCACGTTGCTCCGTTGCTTCGCTCCGCTGCCTGCGGGTCTCGATCCCCGTACCTCTGCCGTGTGAGTCCAGTGTCGTAACCTATAGGGTTATGCCCAAGCCTAGTACCCATGCGCGCGGTATCCCATATAAACAGGTGCTGCTCAGCCCCAAGGCCTAGGAAATAGCCCGGGCCCCATTCCTACCTTTAACTAAGCATGTCGTCGCTAGGCCTCCGCATTGGCTTATCCTCTCTTGTCGTGACTACCTCGCACCCCACTTCGTACGTCGGTCTATCAGTGGTCAACAGTCCTGAGTAGATCCAGGACTTTAAATCCTAGTAGCAACCAAAATCAGGCTGGCCACCTGAGCCGGCTACTCAATCAAATGGAGGAATCACCCGTGCGCCTTAGGACTGCGCGCCCACTCACGCTCTATCCTGGTCAACCATCCTATCAGTGCAGCCCAACAGACCTAGCCGCGACCTGCGCGGTATACTTAGACTCTCGCCCTTACTTCCTGTCATATGCAAAAACTAGGGCGGATACCCTTGTCAGGGTATTCGCACCGACAACATCCTCGCGGACAACGGCTATGGACCCTTGCCCTGGCTTGTAGTGCCTTACGGTGGAGTAGTGCAACCTCCCGACGAGGCGCATTTCGACACGTGTCACAAGTCATCACGGAATGTTGTCGAACGGGCATCTGGAAGACTGAAGGGTATGTGGCGGCTGTTTCTGCGCCACCACAAGACGAACATGAGGAATCTGCCCCAGCAATTCACCGCCGTTTGTATTTTGCACAACTTGCTGATCGAGGCCGGCATCGAATTTGACGAGCGTCTACTTGTTGACAGGGACGCCGACGGCAACGAGCGCCCCATCGATCTGGGTATGCATGAACCTGATGCCCCTATGTCGCAAGATGATGCCACCGATGACGCCCTTGCATTGCACGATGCGCTTAGCTTTCGAATGCACCCAGCTATGGCTTGACGATGGTGGCTTCTGCGGGTGTGTTCGGATTGGGGGGGGGGAGGAGGGGGGCTGGGGTTCGGTAGTTTAGGGGTGGACTGTACTTAGAGCCACCCGTTGTCCTTTCGGAATCGTGCAAGTCAATCCTTTCGTTTGCCAGCGAAAGTAATCAATGCTTGCACGTTGATGGTTAGATGATGTGGCATGCATTGTTATAAATTTTCCGTATGCGTAAGAAGGTTTAATTCAAACATACGTGATGTGTATGTCAATGTGTTCCGTCCCTTTGTCGGAAGCTATGCGGCGTGTGTTTTCGGCAATAGGGTTTCAAATTTGTGATATGCGAGTGGATTTGCTTGTTTTATTTGCGTTTGACGAATTGAACTTCATTGACAACATGTTTCGTTTGTGTTATATACTTCCGTGTGATGTGTTTTTGCCGTTCTCGACTTTCTTAAACGTTTTTGCAGAGTTTGGAGTGGGAAAAAAAAAAAACGAAACGATTTGAAATCACCAAGTATTCGATTGAAAGGGAACAACAGCCAACGTGACATGGGTTTCGACAGGGGGTGTGGGGGCGTTGGGTCCGTACTAATCGATCAATCCATAAACGAACGGGAAAAAAAAAATAAAAAAAATCGACCAGTCAATAAATCAATGTCATTGATTGATTGATTGTGGTATTCAAAGGAACGATTCGAAAGGGAAAGCTATTGAAATGGTCGATTGGTTGATTCCAAAAGTACGATTGATTGAATGTTGTATTCAAAGGGAAATCTGTAGTAATCAATCATTTATGGGGAAAAAAAAACGACCAGTCCATAAATCAATATCGGCGATTGATTGATTGTTCTATTGAAAGGGACGATTCCAAACGGAAACCTACTGATTGATTCCAAAGGTACGATTGATTGATTGTTGTATTGGAAGGGAAATCCATACCAATCAATCAATCATTCACGGACAAAAAAATAAAATAAAAGCGACTAGTCAATAACTCAATACCACCGACTGATTGATTGTTCTATTCAAAGGGACGATTCCAACATTAAAAAAAAAAAAAAAAAAAAAAAAAGTGGTAATAGAAATATTGAAAGTATGGCCTATCACTCCTTTTTCGTTTTCTTGTGAACTGCACCGCCGCACTATCATGTGCTTCGGTGAATGCATCATGAATACATTAGCTGGTTTCGTTTAGACGCGCTGAGAAGGACGATTTCCACGTGTCCGACACAGTATGCAGACAAAAATGAAGGAAGGACGAAGAAAGGAAGGATTGGCGACCCGTGTCCACACACTGTACAGACAACAAAAACTAGAACGATCTCGGAAATCCATGATTGATGAAGGCGACAATCAATACAAACCCTTCTCTCTCTCTCTATCTATCTATCTATCTATCTATCTATCTATCTATCTATCTATCTATCTATCTATCTATCTATCTATCTATCTATCTATCTATCTATCTATCTCTATCATCCAGATCCCTCTCTCTCCTACACATACTCATGCGACGGATTTGAATTTACACATGCTCACGAGTCCGTCTCCGACTTCACGAATGACAAGTATCGGTAGTCCGCCCCAACAGAAAGAGAGCAAACGACGACGTCTGTCAAAACATACCCTCCCTCAAAATGTCGATATCCCCATGCAGGTCTTCCCTCTGCTCGAAAGGCGCATGAAGGACCACCGTGTACGTGGCCGGGTGGTGCATGCGGTCACGGAACTCCATGGCGAAATTAGTAATTAGCATGCGCACCGTCTCCGCCGACACGTCCACTCCACCAACGAACCTGGTCAGCACAGCCGTTCCGACCCTCGTGATGTGCATGATGACTTCGCGAAGCGCCCGTCGACCGAATCCGGACCCTACGACCACCGCAAGACATGTCACTGCATTGGCGTCCGCTTCGCAATACCGGAAGTCCTTATGGTTGACATGATGATCGAATTCCATTGCCCTTCCGTGCGAGTTGCCTCTCCTGTGCCGATACTCGTAGAAGACGACAGTGCGGTTAAGCACCACGCCGCGACAACAGATGACGATGTCCATTGCCGCCACCTGAGATGGTTGTCAATCGAACGGCGATGTGGAATATTCCTTGACGACCGGTTTGCAGACACCGCACTCCCATTTAACCCCCCCCCCCCCCCCCCCCCCCCCCCCCCCCCCACTCTCTCTGACACGTGGATAGCCTTCAACGGTCACGGCACGACACTGCCGACGACCACCACCGCGCACCACAGTGATAACCAGCATGTATGCCGCTGTTATATAGGCCAGCGGAAGGTGGCATGGGTGTGGGAGTGGGGAGGTGCAAATTGGACAGTAGGAGACCGTCGCAATTTCGTCATTGTTCGTCGTTGACCACTCGTGATTCAACGGCTCCATACGGAGGTGCCCATTGGAACACAAAAATGAAAAAATGCGTTCCATGGCAAGGAAAAAAAAAAAAAAAAACGGAAAATAATTTACAACATGGAAGATCTCAGCCATTCCTACTACATAAGACCCCCAACGCAGCGATCGGGAATGCAAGACGGTACCGTCGAACAACCTCCGCGACGCACGGCCAGCCATGGACGGACGAAACAAAAACCAGGGGGTGGGCGAAAGGTGATTATCTCGATTCCTTGCAAAAAAACCACTTCGCCCCCAAATTCCCYCCCCCCCCCCCCCCCCCCCCCCCCCCCCCACGACCCACTCCCACCTCCAACGGCCTAACATGTTCGCCCCCGATTACGCCAACTTTGCAACGCTGCCCCTCCTACGGGCGTGACAACGCCTCCGCGATCTTTAACAAAGCGCCACACAACATCCGCTGGCCAGCATCCATCACGCCGCACTGTGTCTCGTGCACTTTGACCTCCCTCTCCATGATATCGCACTGTCGTTGAAGGACGTCGCACTGTCGTTTGCTGGCCCTGTCCACTGAATCGGCCATGACTGTTGAGTGAGTGGACATGACGTCTGTCACCGCCTCGAAAGCCTGTTGCCTTGCATTTTTCCTTTTCGTGAACTTCATCCCGCTTGACGACCTGCTCGCGCAGCCTTCCCCAGCCTCCCCATTGCCATTATCACTCGCCGAAGTTTCGCCCGTGCCGCCGTTGTTTGCACCTAGCTGCTCAGAAGCCCCCGTGTCCACCACATTCGGCGGGTGGATGGTTTGATTACCGTGCTGACCGGCATGGAGTGCCTCGTAAAGTTGGCGATCCATCCGGAACTTGTACCCTTTATCGGCTCGTTCTTTCGGCGTTAGCGTGAAGAACAACTGCAACCCGGACTCCTTCTCCCTCCATTGCACCTTCCTGTACCACGAGAACATATTCTCCCATCTCTTCATGCACACATCCCACTCACGGGTCACTCCCAGCACCTCCATCCTCTTCGCGATGTCAGTCCATTTCCACTGCTTCGTCTTCATCCTCGCAAAGTTATGGCCCACCGCAGCAAGAGTTTTGTCTTGCTCCCTCTTGCAGCGGACGAGGGTGACGGAGTCATCTAGACTCCATATTATCCTTCCCCCGCCGCTCTCGCCACCCCCATCCTTGGCCTTCCCCTTCCCCCGCCCCTTCGGAGCTGGTTTCCTCGCCGATGTTTTCTTCTGACTCTTTGTCGTAGGCTATGGCTCCTCAGTGTCGACTTCGTTATCTTCCTCCTCCACCTCGTCTACTGCTGCATCTTCCACGATTTCACAGTCCGCACCCCCACCGGCACTGCCATCTCCGTCACTCGTGGCGCGCATCGTGGACACCTTGGCTATGATGTCGTCCACGACATTGGCTTGCCTACCCTCCGATGATGTCCGAACCCTCGCCGTCGGTCGCGCCACTGTCGGACCTGCATGAATGTTGGTGTTTGCAGGCGCTGCTGTTGGCTGCAAGCTCCCAGCACCTGGCCGCCGAGTCGACTGTCCGACTGACGCGTCGCCCTCCAACGGCTGGCGGGATTGATGATAAGTGTTCGTGACGCGGCAGGGCGACCCCCCGAAGACAACTGCAGATCGAGGGGTGGGCACATTCCCTGGTGCAATCCGTCGAACAGAAGTGACGTCATTGGCCCCTGCCTCGGCCGCTGATCTCGCACCCACACTCCACTGTCCGATATGGACTGTGTGGAGCCGTGCGCGAGGTCGAATGTCGATGGAGGCGGCTGCCAATTCTCATCGTCGGGAAGGGGCTGAAGATGCGGCGGCAGGTGCGCATAAAGTGCTGGATCGTAACGTGGTGTATCCGATGGAAAACAGCCCTCGCCGCCACCCCCCGTAACCCCGTACATGAACATGTCCRCCCCGTCGYCGCCGGCACCCATCCCTCCTTTACACRYCGGATGCTTGCTCGATCTCGTCAGCTTCCGCTTGYGGGGCACAACCCTTRCACGCCTCGAAGACCACAGGTGCAGTATGGTCAAGAGCAACAATAGGAGGACGGGGACACAAAGCAGCGACAACTTCCTCGCATGGTCCGCCATGCACGTCGCAGCACAGCGCACACGACAGGAAACGACAACGGAGGTTTGCAGAAGCATGTGTGAACGTCGATGCAGCAACCTGCAGCAACCGTGCTTCTCTTGTACTGCCATGTGGACCTGCCGCGGCAAAACATCCCTTGCCCAGAGCGCAGCGTCCAAACGGCTACGAGCAGCTGCGGCGTGCGACCAATTTCAATCTTCCCACCTCGATGACGACGCACCGCGCGCGACAACGGTCAGCGCGCGTGTGTGCCCAAACGGCCCGCAGGAAGCCGCAGCCACCAAACTCCCGATTTGAATCTTCCCACCTCAATGATGATGCACCGCACACTACAACGGTCACCGCGTGTGTGTCCCCCAACGGCCCGCAGGAAGCCGCAACCACCAAACTCAACAGTTCCGCTGCTGGCACCCGGTACCGCCACCTGTAGCCGTTGCTCACTGGACCGCAAAAAGGACATGTCGTGAACCAGGAACACGGGGTGTAAAAGAAAAAGAAAAAAAAAATACATGCACCCGTAGCTGAAACCCAAGGGTAGCTCTTGAACTCAAGGCACCTCCGGGAGGTGACTTGAACTCAAGTGCGATTTTGCCGGCTGCACTTGAGTTTCAAGAACGGGCACTTGAGATGCAAAATGTGAAAACAAAAAAGCATTTCTCTAGGGCGGGGTGTAACGATGATTTTTCGCGTCGCACTTGAACTCAAGTGGGGTGGAACGAGGCTCTTATGGGTTACGAACTTACTACAAACAGTCCAGTAGTTGTTGTCTGTTTCCCCCCGCCCCCCCTTTCTTACATGCAGTGGCCCGAAGGGCCTGGCTCAACTCGTCAACACTTGCAGAAAAGAAAAACAGATGGCTTGTATGGTTCCAATTTATAGGAGAAGATTCATTTTAGTTTTGCACATACAGTAGCTGTCTCGTTTTTTTGTTTTTCCTTTTCTTACGTGCCTGCAGTGGCCCTAGGGGCCTGGCTCCACCCATCAACACTTGCAGAAAAGAAAAACGTATGGCTTGTACGGATCCAGTTTCTGGGAGAAGATTCATTCTAGTTTTGCACATTTGGTGATATTAATATTCAATATAAAATCAATGTAATAAATATGTACAATGAAGTTTATAGAAATAGAAAAAAAATTTCCGCAATAAACTTATTCATATTTTTGTTAAATGAATTTAATTTAAAAAACGAATGAGCTTAAACAAGGATTCTATCCTTTATTCTTTTTGGAGGCATTTTATACTAGAGTTTTTATTCACATGAATAATAACCATATACTGAACATAGGAAATATAAAGCAATCGAAATTGATTACATCCCGAGTTAGTAAGTCAGTAGCCCATAATTGCTGAAACACGGACCTGAAATCGAAGTTACACCATATGTAGCTGGCGTACTCCCTCCTTGCTACAAGTCTAGTGACGAACCGTCCAATGACCTCCTGTATACAATACTATACACACATCACGTTTTTTTTTTTTTTTTTTTTTTTTTTTTTTTTTTTTTTTGCGTGCGCACCTGGGATTAGCGCACCGCGCACTGCGCAGCCCACTTCACCTATGAGCCGCAAGTATGATTTCCAGTGATCACTTTGGACACTGCTTGCAAAAAAGATCGGAGACAGTAATTGGATTTTTTTTTTTTTTTTTTTTCAACAACACTTCTCTTTTCTCTTATACTCTAAAGCAAAATGCGGGTCTCGCGTGATGGTCCTGCGAGACCCGGTTCTCTGGTGTGGCACCTCGGGAGGCCACGATCGGATCATGGGCGTGATGGTCCTGCGAGACCCGGTTCTCTGGTGTGGCACCTCGGGAGGCCACGATCGGATCATGGGCCTATCGTCGGGACGCGGTTTCGGGGTGGGGGGGGCGTGTGTTTATCATTTTGTTTTGTTCCTCAGGGCCTGTATGCACGGGGACGTG